TGTTAAAATGCATCCAAAACATCAGTTTTGCAATAAACGCCAACATTACCTAACGGAATTATTGATCAGATCATTATTCCGCAAGGAAAGTGAAATTACATTCAGAATGCGCCACTTTCATGTCGATCACGATACCAATGAAATCGATCTTTTATTTACCGATTTCTTTAAAAAGCCTGGTACGCAGCTGAAAAGAAAACGGAAAAGTAAATTTTGAGGAATATTCCCAAAAGTAAATTTGACAGCTTTAGCACAGAGAACAGACGTCCAAGCTCGGTCAGAAGCTTGTGTAAAGTTAAGTGGAAACGTCGCCGTTACGTAGCGCTAGCATCTCCTGATTTCCTCTATAAATGTATCACTTTCGACCCATTTGGCGCTAGTATCGATAAATTATCTGTTGAAAATTGCCACTTGGCGCTACTAGCACTTAGTGTCTAGTGTAATTTTTGCAACGCCAGCGCCATCATGTTGCCAAAGAGGGTTTTTAAGTGGGGAAGTCACCGTTTGTGGTGCTTTAGTCGAATAAGAATCTTTACACAAGTTTTTACAGAAATTTTGTTCGAGCCTCAACGTCTGTTCTCTGTGGCTTTAGGGAGTATCGATAAAGAGAGAACAGACATGGAGGCTCGAACAAAATTTCTCTAAAAACTTTTGTAAAGATTCTTATTCGACTTAAGCGCCACTAACGGCGACTTCCCCACTTAAAAACCCTCTTTGACAACATGATGGCGCTAGCGTTGCACAAATTACACTAGACACTAAGTGCTAGTAGCGCCAAGTGGCAATTTTCAACAGAAAATTTATCGATACTAGCGCTAAATTGGTCGAAAGTGGAAAATTTATAGAGAAAATCAGGAGATGCTAACACCACGTTACGGCGACGTTCCCACTTATTTTATACAAGTTTCTGACCGAGCTTGAACGTCTGTTCTCTGTGGCAAAACTGCACCAGTGCATGCGACACCTAGGTTTGAAATCCAAAACCACAAAAGTGATGATGTACTAAAATATTCCATACGATTTGACAGCTAGCAAAACGTCATTATCGTTTTCACATCATTTCCATCTACTGGCCGACCGTAACCACAGAGAACAGACGTTCAAGCTCGGTCAGAAACTTGTATAAAATAAGTGGGAACGTCGCCGTAACGTGGTGTTAGCATCTCCTGATTTTCTCTATAAATTTTCCACTTTCGACCAATTTAGCGCTAGTATCGATAAATTTTCTGTTGAAAATTGCCACTTGGCGCTACTAGCACTTAGTGTCTAGTGTAATTTGTGCAACGCCAGCGCCATGATGTTGTCAAAGAGGGTTTTTAAGTGGGGAAGTCGCCGTTAGTGGCGCTTAAGTCGAATAGGAATCTTTACACAAGTTTTTAGAGAAATTTTGTTGAGCCTCCATGTCTGTTCTCTGTGCCGTAACGTAGATTCATCAATTCAGGCATAACATTTGATAACGGCACAAAAGCATTTGTAAACAAACATTCTAAGGCCCTTTACACGCGAACCAAAGTACGCCCACGCAAACCAACAACATCATCGCATAGGGGGAACTATCACCTTTCCGAAAGTGGTATTGGTTTGCGTGGGCGTACTTTAGTTCACGTGTAAAGGCCCTTAGAATGTTTGTTTACAAATGCTTTTGTGCCGTTATCAAATGTTATGCCTGAATTGGTCCCAAGCAAACGATTAACGTACCCCATGCTAGTCGAAATTCTATGTTGTATGCAATGTTTGTTTTGATTCGCTATGAAAGTTTGACAGATAAAATAAGGGGTTATTGGTTTTTCCTATGTTTCAAGGGGTGAATCGATTAGCTTGGGACCGAAGCGAGTACCAGAGCTGAGCCAAAAAGTTGAGCACGTTATTACGGGACCTTCTGGTCTTAGAGTTACCTCTATGATATCACTGCTTGCAATCAGCTTCACCACTTAACATTTTCATTGTTGTTGCAAGATCGTTGCATTATCCCGGGATGCAACGAGCACAAATTTCAACTTTTTCGGGTTTCGAACTCGGGGAGCAACAAATTCACACAGTGGAGAAAGGTTGCCACTTGTTTACGGAACAGAGACAAAGCATATATGTATGCTCCATGATTTTGTTGAATCATACTTTGTTCCATATAAGTTCCAAAGTTTGATATCTCGGGGTTATTTGAGATTAATTTCATGTGGCAGCACCCCGGGATGGGAACTTTGCAGCGCAAACCCATTCTACTGATGTAGCCCAGGCACACAATATGCTGGGTCTCTAAAACCGCTAGTCCTTCCCGTATAGGTCACCCGGGGTCCCAATATAATCCAGTATATCCAGCAGACGTGAACGTCAATTTCGGGATGGGAATCTGCAATCATATAAATATGAAATAAAACATAAAACATAACCTACACGCTATTCTGAATCTACCCAGTGACTGGGTAGATGGCACCCATTCTTGTATCCAATAAGTAGTTGTCAAAATCTGGGTAAACTAATTTTGTTCTGACGAGTAGAATCTACCCAGATTCTGGGTAAATAGTTCTAATCGAAATTTTCCTAAAGTTAAAAGTGGCGCAGGTATGAAAGGGAGATTGTTGCACTGCTAGTAAAAGTTAAGATCCTCAAAATATATAAATCTGATGCTAAACAATGTACAGATATGTAACTGTTTCATGGCGAATGCTACCAGCAGCTTAAGTTAGTAAGTACATTGATACATTTACGTTAAGGTCGACCAGCAGATGGAAATGTTGTGAAAATGATAATGCCGTTTTGCTACCTGTCAAATTGTATGGAATATTTTTTAGTACGTCATCACTTTTGTGGTGTTGGATTTCAAACCTAGGTGTCGCATGCACTGGTGCAATTTCGCGTAAATTCATCAATTGTCAAGGGCCACCCACATTAGATCCGTTTGCGTTGCGTTGACGTAAATTTGACAGTTAGACAATAGATTTAGTTGTCACTTTGCCGCAACGCGTCCGATCCGGATCTAATGTGCGTGGGCCTTTAGTTTCTGCACAGTTTGAAAAAGAAAAGTGTAAATTTCTGTTCAATATGATGCACACAAATGGAGCGTCACATATCATATACGTTTACATTATATATCATGTAAAGTGCTGACATATTTCATGAAATGTAGCAAATATTGTATACAAAAGCCCATCTTTGTAAACAATATTGTTTGCAAGTTGCTCGGATGCGTTAAATGAAATACAAGTTTACGTGAATGAAAGTTTACATCACAATTAAAATTCAGAATTTTCATCTGTGTGGACTTTGAACATTTTCCTAATGCTACATGTTATCTGTTATTTTATCTGTTAAACTTTCATAGCGAATCAAAACAAACATTGTGTAGTACTAAAATTTTGACTAGAATGGGGTACGTTATACCACAGAGAACAGACATGGAGGCTCGAACAAGATTTCTCTAAAAACTTGTGTAAAGATTCCTATTCGACTTAAGCGCCACTAACGGCGACTTCCCCACTTAAAAACCCTCTTTGACAACATGATGGCGCTGGCGTTGCACAAATTACACTAGACATAAAGTGCTAGTAGCGCCAAGTGACAATTTTCAACAGAAAATTTATCGATACTAGCGCCAAATTGGTCGAAAGTGGAAAATTTATAGAGAAAATCAGGAGATGGTAACACCAACAATCAATACGAAACTAACGATTTTAAATTGGCTCACCACTTTAGTAGCCTATTGGTCCCAAGCAAACGATTAACGTACCCTATTCTAGTTGAAATTCTATTACTACACTATGTTTGTTTTGATTCGCTATGAAAGTTTGACAGATAACATCAGGGGTGTGTGGATTCATGCAGAACATGCAGGGGTGAGTGAAATAGCTTGGGACTGCTTGGGACCGTTGTTCTGGTACTGAGTGAGCCAAAAATAATAATGATTTTCTTCGGGACCCAGTGGTCTTAGAGTTACCTCTATGGTTATACCCCGTTCACATTATAGCCTATATCACGTAATATAGGCTATCTTGCAATGAGCACTCATACGTAGGATTTCCAGTGAAAACTAGATGTATGAGTGCTCCTTGCAAGACAGCGTATATCACGTGATATACGCTGTAATGTGAACGGGGTATTAATCGATTTGCTTGGGACCAATAGGCTTGTCAAGTAGTGAGGCAATTTAAAATCGTTAGTTTCCACCGGTTGGTATAACCACAAACGAAGTGACAGACGGAGCGGCTCGAAAACTTTGGTGACTAACCTGCTATTGCAATTTTTCAGTGTACCGCATGGCAATACCACTACTGCTGGATTGTACCACATGGCAACACTACTACTAGATTGAACTAGCATTTTCACCAAATGTCCTAGAATGTTTTGGTTCTATCTCTTTCACTCTACTCAAAACCGAAATGCATAAAAAAATGACAAAATGATACGCACTCTTTGTACACTGTCAAAGAATCATTGTACACAAAATCAACTTTGTTCAAATCAAAACAAAAAAAAAACTAACCCATCTGGTGGATGATGGCACAAGCTTCCAAGAAAATTCTATTACAGTGAACCACATTATTTAAATGGATTTCTTCGCCAGTTAGTCGTCTGTCACTTCGTTTGTGGTATAACTGTGTGGCAAGTACTCTATGCCCAGGGAAGTTGAGAAATTTTCCAACCCGTGAAATTCCTAGACCGGACCGAAAATCTAAAACAGCCACCTCCACACAGTTCGAAAAAGTAGTGTAAATTTCTGTTCAATTTGATGCACATAAATGGAGCGTCACATATCATATAAGTTTACATTATAACTCTTGTAATGTTCTGAGTCATTTCATGAAATGTTGCAAATATTGTATACAAAAACCCATCTTTGTAAACAACATTGGTTACAAGTTGCTCGTTTGCGTGAAATGAAATACAAGTTTTTTTTTTTCTGTGCAGTACTGAGCAAAGGGAGGTCCCAAAACTGCTCGAATATGTTATTAATGGACAAAATGATAGCTCAAACAGATGATTGTTATCTTTTCGATAGACACATTTTATTCCTTATCAAGCTTCTTATAATGAGCAATCTTCACGCTAATCACATTCAAAATTTCCTTTGCCGTCATTCGCTGATCATCTTGGCAGACCTTCAAAATGCGACCGCACTCCTGTATAAAGTAGCCCAGCTCCTTCTCGTCCAGCCCGTCTCTCCGATTGTTTTCCAGTGCCGGCGACAGGCACTTATTGGTGAGCTGTGTGATTTGCGCTTTCTCCGAACTGAAGGCTTCATTCAGATCAAATAGCTCCAACGGTGGCGCCGACAGATCGCTGAAAATCGGTTGGAAAACCTGAAAATAACGGACCGATTAACGTTCGGTTTTGCAACAACACCACTGGCGGAAAAGGGGTGAATCAGAGAGAAATAAAGCTCTAACCGCAAGCTGCAGCGGCGGTAATGGGATCTCGAACTGCGGCTTGATGATCTTGAGCGGTTCATATTGCACGTCCAACTTTTCATAGGTATTGATAACATCGCGCAGCAGATCGTTGTTGATCGAGTACAGGGCCATATCGAATAGCTTCTTGAAGTCGGCGGGGATGTCGTAGTCGAGCGAATCCATCAGGCAGATCTTTGGCTGCTCGGCCAGATAGATCGTATCGGGAATGATTGCGTAGTCATTTATCTGCAAACATCAGGGTGTGAGAAATTATTGTGCCGTGATTGCTGTGAGAGTATGGCGCACTTCGAGGTCGTTGAAATCGGATGACTTGAACTTGAAGGCATCCTCGAGGATCATGCTGAAGATTCCATCCCAGATAGCCACATTGATTTCGTTCGAAATGTATTTATCTTGAAACATGTGACCCGAACCGATTGCCACCAGTTTGCCGTTAGTTTCGTTCTGGTAGTACCCAGCTAAAGGGCGATTGAAGGGATAGACGACGGGGCCCGTGGTCAGAAGGACGCTCGAAGGCTGGATGACGTTCATGGTAGCTCCGAAGGGGTACACGAACTCAACCTTGTACTTGTCGTCCATGAAGTCAAACGCGGTCAGGATACTTTTGCTGAATTCGAGTAGATAGTTGTTCATGGTATCGCTGGCAATTCCTCCGCTGATTAGGGCCTCTTTTGGGTGAAAATATTTGTAGTACTGTGGGCGAACTACAGCGTCTACAATGGTGACAATTATATAGACTGATTGTTAACTATTCCTGAGGCATCATAACTCTAACCATTATTGATTGTCATTCCGTAGTCTTCAAGAAGAAAATTAATATTTGTGTTGAAGTTCACTTCTCCTCCTTCGCCTAAAAGAAGTAATAGGCGCCCGCCTTCCGATATGTAATCCTAGAACAAGATCAATCATAATCGCCATATTTAATAGAGAAGTAAACATCTCGCTCAAACCTTCAGGTATTGAAATTCTGTTTCCGTGAACTTTTCCTGAGGACCCGCCAGAACGTAAATCGTAGCTCCTTTGAGGATCTCCGGTGTGATGTCATTTTTGTTACTGAAAATCCGAAGCAAAAGTAAATTTTTCAAACTCTCCAAATCAAATCACTTTACGCAGTAAATTAACCTTTCAACCCGATAGCTAACTTTGAGCTTCCGGTGCAGAGTCTTGTAGTTATCGGGTAGCTTGAACATCTCATTTTTCGACACATTGAAAATCACGTTCACGTTGTTCATATTGCCGTGGTGGTTTCACCATTCAAAGAACCAAATTAGGAATGTTGTAAAAAGCCAAATGTTGCTTCCCTTCTTTCTTTGACCGAACCGCCGCCGCTGACCAGCCAAACGCTCGCCTAGGTGTGTAAATATACCGAGAAATTGAGTTGTTAATCGCTTAACATTCCGGGAACCGAAACCCTACACCTGCCTAACATGGGCCCGCGCGAGCGAGGCACGCGTGGCTGAAGTTCTAGGATTCGCCGCCAAATCCTACAATTTAGGACCGTTTTAGGTTGGCTAATATTTTTTGGGGATTCACCGTCGGACAACCGTAGTAAGCGAAGGATGACTAGAATTCACGGGATTTCTTTCACCGAAACTGAACAAAACAAAGCAACTACGATTCACGTTTTTGTGTCGTTGGGCTGGTTGCCATGGTTGCGCGCGTGACATGGCATGCGCTCTGCCGCAACGCAACGGCCAGAATTTGTAACTACCTACATAAACATGGCCAGTAAAACATGGTGCTAAAAACGCTCGCTGGAATTTGTGTAATCTTATCCGTGACGTTTTTTTTTGTAAAGCACCTCTCGCAGCTGATGAATGCATAGGAAAGGAGCGGGAAAACTTCACGACAGACGGTGAATGTTGCCCGAACAGCAGCGCCGCCGACAAGATTGTAAAACTTTATCCAAGCATCTTTCAAAGTAGAGTGAGTTTAATTTAGAATTTTAATTTCCAATTGAAAGCTGATACATGACCGTTTCGGTGCACCATGTGATCGTAAATTATGGGAAACATTGTTGTCCTGGTCACGGATTCTGGATCTCACATTTGAAAACGCTTTAATGTGGCAGTATCTTGTGAAGATGTACCCAGGTATGGGTATATTTTCCTATTATGGTGAGTTCCAATTATGAGACCAGAAAATGTTTGATACCGTTCTGGTGTTTTTTTTTATGTATTGCATGGTTTTAAGGTATATTACATATATTACACTCAAAGATAAATTAAATCAAAAAAGCTTAAAAAGTATGCATATTCCCGCTTCACCTAATTGAGTCCGAGCCATGATTACTTTGGCAGTAGTCATGCATGATTAAATTCGAAATAATCTTTCCAGTATTCAATTTTATTCTTTTTCAATACTGATATATAATCAAAAAAGATTAAAATTCAATAAAAAATTATTAAAATAGAATCAAAAATGATTGAAATTTATTCAAAAAAGATAATCTTCAATCTAATCAACCACGATTAAACTGGGATTAATGTCAGATGCTTATTTTTTAGAAAGAGAGTATTAATTTTTAATCATTCGATATGATTAAACTGAGTTAAATGCCAAATTGATTAAATTTCAAGCAAAATGGGAATAGTTTAATTTATCAGTGCAGGGAATATAATATTATTCTGGAACTTTTCTGGATGATGTTGAGGGTTTTGAGACGATTCTTCATGAGCTTTGGTGGATGGTGCATTAGGTTTCGATGGAGACCATGGATGTAGCCAGAGGTTGGCAGGAAGGGGCTAAGCTTCTAGAATCTAAAAAAAAACAAGTTTCAAGATCATAGTAAGTTATCTTAATTCTAGAATCTATATGTTTTATTTTAAGAGGCCGAGCCTATTATTAAATAATTAAAAAAAATCTAAAGTACAAAAGTTTATTTCAGAAATCTTATATTTGAAAACATAGATACACATTTTTAAGCAATTGAAAAGCTTCCAAAATGCTGAGGCTTGATTTTTTCTCAGATTCTGTAACATGAAATTATGGAATTTTGAGAACAGTTTCAAGATAATGGCATGAATTTCATAGCAATTCCGAGCTGAATCGCATGACAATTTTAAGAGAGGAGAATGTCGGGAATCGAACTCAGCCACCTCCATTATGGTCCTGCATTCTAGCTGCGCCTTAACCTACTGTGCTAAGGTAGGCCTTGCGAGATACTTGGGTGATATCTCTATAGTCCATTATTAGATCTGTTAAAAATTGTTGAATTTGTTTTTATTAGGTTTTCTAAGTGACTTTATCCTGAAAAACTAGTCCAGTCCAAGGGTCTTGATTTTTTTTCAATTACCAAAATCTCATTCGTTACAAAAAACGAAGTGCATTTTCCCGATTTGTTATCGAAATTCACGGGTTTTCACAAGGTGACTTTGAATTCCCGGCTTTTCCCGGTTTTTCTGATTTATCGGTTCCCGATTCACTTTTGGGAAGGGCTCCTGGTAGACGTTTATGCATTGATCATTTCAAAAAATAAATGGAGCGTACATTTTGGCCAGGTCAAATATGAGTATGAGTTTGTATACAGTTGACTATTATTATGGAATGGAATTGCTCTATAAGGGAATAATCTGCATAATTACCAGGTCGGTCGGTACAGTGACCCATCACTATTTAATATTTTTTTCAATGATACCGCTTAAATATATGGAGATTATATTCTTACAGTTACCCCCTAAACTTATACAAGAGCTTTAAGGCGAATCGTTTGTTATACCACCAGATAATTGTGTGAAGATCTTTGTGGACTAAACACGATTTGAGTGAATCCGTCGGCAACATCGCCTACGGACATCCACGGGATGAATGAGATTCTCTTTCCAACAACAGGATCATACAACCGGTCAAAAAACAGGCCATCCAACAGAAGGAAGACCCAATGTGTTGGGAGAAGAGCCCACAACCTATTCACGAAATGTTAAAGACAGAGAGTTGGCATTTCCACTCTCTCCATCCATTTCGCATCATTTAATTTTTCATATGGAACGAAAGCTAAGAGAAAATTACTAGCTTGAACTTACGCGCAATTTTGTACACAGGTACATTTCATGCAATACACTCGGATGTATCGATGTGCTCAAGGAAGTATACCGGCTCGAAAATAAAATAATATTTTCGGTACGTTTTTATTTTTCAATAAATATTGGGAAAAATTATTAAAAATCCAAGAAAATCAGTTTCTTTCTTAGATTTTTGTCAAAAATTACATGCAAAAGTTTTTTTTCTATCTCATTATGAAAAAAAAACTGGACCCTCAGCAAAACCGAAAAGTCGATGTTTTGGGGTTTTTTGAGTGCAACTTTACGCCATAATGACTTATGAAAAATGATTTTTTCCAGTAAATTTCTATGAAAAATTAGAAAAAAGGTAATTGTTTTAGATTTTTCATACCTTTTCTCAATATTTTTAGAAAAATCAAAACTTGCTTATTTTTTTCGGAGCTATTGACTCCCCCTTAAGTGTATTCGCAGACGTTTGCATACGGGTACATTGCACATGGGTTTGTGCACGGTACCAAATCATAAAATTTTAAGATTAAAGGCATATAAGAAGCGCTCATAATAGGTAAGGGAACTAACTCGTCTGCCGTTTATGCAAGCCGGCTCCCATGAGCACAAGCGCATGAGCACATAACATAAGTGGAACTCAATTATCAAAAATCGACCTAATTTCAGTGATTTCAAGTGGTATAGAAGGACATCAATCTGTCAAATTGATTATACCAGCTGTAAAATTGAGTAGGGGGATCAAGGGGGTAGTCAATTTTATTAAAATATTTCTATCGTGGTTTATAATGATGTGTCTTCTTAGTACTCCTGAACTCATCTCGTCGTATTTCCTTAACAATATACTTTCTTTATTTATAATAATATAGCTTTAAAAAAATCTTCACACAGCCAAATATTAACGTTTGCATTAAAATAGTAGACAATTATTTAATTTTGATATCAAAACATATTCTTTTTCTGAAGTTATGGGCAAAAAATTTGGAAACTCCACGCGTTCATTTCTTCTAACTCTAAATTTGCGTGGATTAATTTTTTAAATTTTTTTCTCTGAGGCAAATTTTGATTAAAAATGTACGTACCATCTTCTCTTTTGACATTTTTTTTGTATCCAATTGCATCAATCTTTAATTTCATAAGGTTTCGTTTGAGAAAAAATACAACTATGCAAATTTGGAGTTAAGTGCATACATTTTTAAGTCCAGAGAGCAGCAGCAAAATCTTCGAATTGTTAGCATTACATTGCATTCAATTAACATAATATCCGTAATCAATCCAATACAATTCAACCAGGTTGAAGAGACGTAGAAATATTGCATCTCTAAAAAGGTAAATTCAAGGTTTCAAATACTCATTTCAGCTTAGAGCTTAGATGCTATGATCATATTTTGAATTGGTAAGATGCAAGAAGAGGTTGCAAAGAATGTGTTTGAAATATTAAACCTGTTTATTTCAGTTCATGAGATTCACAATCAGCGATTTTTCACACACTCACTCACTCACTCACTCACTCAGCGATCAGCAAATCGCTGATTGTGACTCATAGAAAGCAAAATTTACAGGTTTTATCTTTCAAACGCATACTGTGTAACCTCTTCTTGTAAGTTACAAGTAAAACATGTCATCATACCATCTTTTGGTTTTATTATTCCGGAAAATATTATTTTAGCTGAAATGAGTATTTGCAACCTTGGGTAAATTACTGTTTAACAACGCTCTTGATTGACTTATGATCGACTAAAAAATACTAGTGAAAATATCCTCCTGTCACTAGTCGAAAAAAGAATGGCCGCATTATCAAATGAGCGGTAAACAGCAAACTCTGTCAACCATTTAAACAGCGGATGAACAAAAGAGACGATAAATTCTCTGGGCCTCACCTCTTTGCACTCATTGCGCATTATCTTGACAATTGGGTTCTTTAATTTTGAAAAATATATCGGTTTTTATATATCATCTGAAAAAGCTCCGTTTTCTGAGCACAGCGATATTTTTTTCGAACCCACACACTATCATCTCGATTTTTAAATCAAGATTTAAAGCAAAATAATAACTTCACTGTTTGACACTAAACTGACAAACTGACAGCTCGTTCCCATACAAAGCGACACCGAGGTTAGCGCCCCTAAGGTGATTTTTGCAAATGTAATTGTTCTTATTTAAAATAGTTCCAGTTACCCAAAATTGATGAAATTTTGGGTTGGTTTGGATTCCATTTTTAATGCAGATTACGAATATGCATTTACCTCAATACCCTTAAAGAACCCAATTGACAATTCGCCTTTTCGTTCACT